TATAAGATGGCTTAAGTATATATGGAGGTATAAACCACTTGCAATAACCTATCACCCCAATCCTCAGGGTAGGAAGATCCTTCTTAGAAAGATCAATAACAAAACTTGCACTAATTCAAAGACAAACTCTTTGGATGAAAAGAGTTGTAAAGAGTACATGTTACTAACTAGATGCAGTAAAAATGCTTAGTATCATTTGTTGATGAGTTTAGAAAAATGAAACATTTCTGCAATGTATATTGTCATTATTTCTTCACAAGAATTAAAACCTATTGGCTGGATATTCATCCCTTGTATCATGGAACCAGGGGAGAAAAAATAATAAAAAAAAGAAAAGGGAGAAAAAAAAAATTCGGCCAAGACTTAATAATACCTCACTCCTATTTTGAGGTACTATCCTACCTGCTACTATTTCCTCTCCTAACATTATCAAGTGTTTGAGTATATCAAAAGCTGTAATTCTTTACTATAATTACAGATTGCTGCAATAAGTTGAAATTCAATGCAATAAAGTAAGGAAGAGGCTGGCATAGAAAGGTATTTTATACATATATTATATATTTTATATATTTACATATTACATATATAGCTTTCTGAGCATGTGGAATTTACCTAGATTCATTCTAAGTGTCTCTTTTGTGTAATGAACTCATGATTATGTTATACACCTGTTAGTATGGCTATAAGTAGCAGAAGTCAGTCAAAGTCTTATCACAAACACTATTAAAAATCAAATCTCCATATAAGAAAAAGTACCAACATATGATCTAAATAATATATCAAAATTGAAGTATAACAAAATAATCTGGACAGTGGTTTGGAGCTTAGTATAATGGGAATTAACTTCATATTAATAACTTCATAACTCAGATCTACCAAAATCACAAGTTTCCTGTGAGAAAAGTGTTTTGTAAAAAAAGTACTATGGAAATGTGAACATAGTTATTGTTCCCTCTCAGAAGGCCATCAGATTAATTTTTTTCAGTTTATTAAAGAACCTACTAATGCAGAGAGTGGCTGGATTTCCTTTTGGATCTCACTGTTAACAGGATCAAAAATCAAGAACAGGAAGAGACCAGTGGCCATCTGATCTAATCCCCCTTCATTTTACAAATAAAATGATGGATATATGAAATATTCAAGTGTTATTCTCTAAGAATTAAGATCTTTAAGGAACCTTAAGGTCCAACCCATATAGGACCAAAAATCCCTTGTACAACATACCAAACAACTGATCATCAGACTTCCAAAAAAGGGAAAACTCAATTCTAATCCAAGGCTGCCCGTTTCATTTTTGGACAGCTCTCATTGTAAAGATTTTTTTCCTTACGCTGTATGTAAATATGCCTTTCTAAAAATAACCTTGTCTTTTCTCTCCTTTCCTCTTCACTAAGACACATTCTACCAAATTTTTGTATATGCTATCAGCAATTTAAAATTATGGAAGCTTTTCTTTCCTTTTTCACATGCTTGGTTCTTCAGAATGCAAACTCCATGAACCATGGCACTCACTTGCCTTAAAAAAAAAATAAGAAACAGAGCTCAAAGAAATTTCAAGTAAGCCATGACCATCAGGTGCACTAGGTAAATGGCAATTAATATTACTTCCTCTTATCCACTCCCTTTTCTAGCCCACTTTAAATTCATACAAGTTTCCATTTTTTAAAAAATCTTACTCCACTGACACACTGTTTCCAAACCAACATTGTCCTTCAACACTATGACCAGGGCAAAACAACTTTATTATTTAAACTTCTGTAGTGATTGTTTTTAGTCACTAAAATATTCTTCTAGGCTCTCTCAGTAACAAGGATACACACCATACAGCCAATCCCCTGACCGCTCAGAACCCAACTAAACATTCTGGGTTGTGGATGGAGCCTTTCCTGATCCTAACTGCTAGTGTCCTCCCTTCCAAACCACCATGTATTTAACTAACTTGTATTCAATTATATTATTTTTTTTTATTGTATTTATTTATATATGTATTTCTCATCTCTCTCTTTAGAATGGAAACTCCTTATGAGTTGTTTCCCCCATTAAAATGTGAGATCCTTGAGCGCAAGTACTGGTTTTTCCCCTATCTTTGCATCCCCAGGCTTAGCAGTACCTGACAAATAGTAGGTGCTAAACAAACTGATTTGAGAGTTCCCACTGTTTCATTCTTTGCACTCATATCCCCAGAGCCTAACAAACAGGAGCCCAGGAATGATCTGACTGAATGAAGATTAGCTCCCTCTTACCTACTCAGAGGAGACTGAACTGATATTTGGACACCCTCCTCCTCTTCCCCAGGCGTTTGGGAAGACTCTATATCAGGCCTGCACAATCTGCAGGCCAACCGAAATCCTCTGGCGGGTCACAGGTTGTGCGTGTCTGCTCTATATCACTGAATCCCAGATTCAATTTCCCAGTCCCTTTCAAGGCCAATGAAGACCTGGAACGGGTAGACCTCTGAAAATTCTGATTCAAGTCAAAATAGTGGTTACCTAAAGTATGAAAATCAAGAGGCAGTCCTGAAAAAATATTTTGTAAACAAAATGACAGAAATGGTATAGTGGAAAAAGGAAAACAAAGAGAGGGAAATTCATAAAATGAAGCTTCAATATATAAATACTTCAAAGTAGGAATCTGTACTTTGCATTATACTTCCAGAAATTTTCCTTTTTTTTAAAGTGCTTTACTTACTATCACTTTAAGGATTTATATAGCACTTTACAGACTGCAACTTGGTTCTTTCCAACAACCAAGTTAAACAGCCAGGGGCCTCATTTTACAGATTAGGAAACTGGTTCCAGGAGCTTAACTGACTTGCTAATGGCTTTAGGTGACCCGTCTAAGAGAAAATTCAAACCCAGTGTCTGGACTCTTTCCCATCCCGATTCACAGGTGATATAAAGGGCACAGAGAATGGAGGTATCTCAGAGCCAAGGTTACAGAGATCCCAATTTTCTATATTCCTAAGCATAGTAGTCCTTACCCTAAATCGCAAAAGCCCCCAAGTGATTGAGAATAACAATTTTAAGTCACTTTTTTGTCCTTCATTCTCTAAGAGGACCAATGACATCACAGGTGGTGACTGACTTGTTCAGGAATTGGATTTAAGTGAGGCAGAGCTTAGCAAAGTCACCATCCTTACTCTCTCCTCCAGTCATTGGAGTCTAGTGACAAGACAAAAGTCAAGACTACTTGTGATGGCCCAGGTTGCAGTAAGTGAACTTGGCCTTTCTAAATTGTCTTTCCCTGGTCTCTGTTTGTCTGAGTCAACTCTCATCCAATGACTATGGAGGTAAGAATTGACACAAAAGATGGCCTAGTTTGCCATCACGAAAGTATCAATCTGGGAGGGGAAGACCCTCAGAGTTTTGGGACCAAATAGAAAACCACTGCCATTTACACTCATTCTAAACCATCAAAATTTAAACAATGAGGAGGCCTGGACTAGGGCCTATTATAGACCATTTGAAAGCCAGAGTGATTTGGGTTTAAAGGTTTAGTCAAGTAGCTCCATTTGCATCGAAATTAATCACTGTTAAAGCCTTTTTTTTTCCAGAGCTACATTTCAAGAAATCATAAATGAAACCTACACAGGACAAAAAGTAAATTGTCCTAGCCTTCTGAAAACAAAAAAAAATAATAATAAAAATAAAGTTGTTTTAAAAATCTAGCCACCAAATCTCAAAATAGCTTACAAAATATAAGACACCAAAAATTATATTCCTATAAACTGAGCATCCACCCGTAAGGGTATGGCACTCCAAGTGGAGACAGGGACCACACCTGTCTAGTGAAGAAAGGGAAGGAGAAGAATTCCAGAGAAAAGAAAGATAAAGCATGCTCCTCCCTCCTCCTCCTGACATGTCAACAAGCATTTATTTATCTCAAGGAGAAGTAATCAGAGACTTGAGGTGACAGACTCAAGATGTTAAATGAGACACACGTCTATGGACTTGACCTGACCTACGTGGGGATTAACTGCGTATTTGTTACATGGGTTTCAGTGTCTTCAGGGGTGGGGACCTAAAATGATTAACTTAAAGAAAATTTTAAATTACCAACAACAATGGAGGAATGGGGGGGAAGGGGCGCCTTACTGAACACAGTACCAATCTAAAAAAGAGTAAATAGGCCCTTGGCGTTCAATGTTTCCTCTTCTCCAGCAACGTTTACCAAATATACAAAGCTGGAAAATGCTGACACCGATTCCTTGGGTATCTATCTGACGGTATGAAATGACTGCTCCGCACACACCAGGAATGACCTGAAATCCTCAACCAGAGGCCCCGGCCAGGCCCCCACGCCCGCCCCATTTAAAACTGTGCCGTCCTCCCCCACCGTGAGGAGGAGACCGAAGGAGGTGCAAGGGGGGGGGGGGGGGCGGGGAGGGCCCAGCGAAAAAGAAGAGCGGGCCCGAGGCGCGGAGGCTCACAGGAAAAGAAGGGGCTCAAAGCATCACAGCCCCAGGCGACCCCCGCCCCCTCCACCAGACACACCCCCTGAGCGACGAGATAAGGGGGTGGCTCAGCCGCGGAGGCTCACGGGAAGAGAAAGGACCCGACAGTCTACCCGCCAAAGGGAGAAAGGAGGCAGCCGGGACGCAGAGGCTCACGGGAAGGGAAGGGGCTAGAAGCTCTACCTGCTAAGGGGAAGAAGGGGCGCCCCAGGCGCGGAAGTTCACGGGGAGCTAAGGGGCTCGAAGCTCTAAGCTCAAGGGAGGAGGGGGTTGGGGGGGTGTAACGGCTCGGCCGCGGAGGCCCACGGGAAGGGAAGGGGATGGGGCCGACGCAGATACGGAGGGGGGGGAGGGGGCAGCTGTCACCGCCACGTCCTCTTTCCCCTAAGTCCCGCCACCGGCTGGCCGGGCCAAGGTTCGGAAGGGGGGAGGGGAAAAAGGAAGAGCCTCCCGCCTCAGTTCAGGGAGGGGGGAGGGGGCGGTGTCCCCTTCCGCCTTCCCTCAGGGAAAATCAGAGGCTCCTTAGAGCCCCAGAGCCGTTATTTACCTTCCCGCTCCCGACACCCGCCGCCGCGGCCGCCATGTTGTCTGTGCGTGCTTGTGATGACGTAGCAGCCCCTCACGTGCTTTGCCCCGACACACCACAACATCCGCCGAAACTGTGGGGGGAGGGGCATGGAGGAGAGAGGGAACTGCGCGTGCGTACTGGAGCTTTTGGGGTAGGGGGAACTGTTCTCGCTTGGGATGTGATTGATGGTCCTGGTTGATTAGGAACCAGATAGAGGGAACCAGCATTAGGAACAGGGTCAGTTCTACACATCTCTCGCTTCAGATCCTTTTTCTCTACTCATCTGGCTGTCACCCTACTTAGAAAATCAATCACTCCACCAAAATTAAAAAAAAAAACTAAAACTAAAGAATCTGCAAGTATTTATTAAGTGCCTAGCGCGTGCCAAACACTGTGCTGCGCGCGGGGAACATATCCCGCGCTTAGCTTATTAGCAGAGTGCCTGGCACGTAGTGGGCGTTTAATAAGTGCTTATTGACTGACAGTCCCCGCTGGCAAGCATTCTAGTAGGGGAGAAGGAATGAATGAAGCATTTATGAAACCCTTATATTCAAAGTTGTGTACAACTGACTGAGGATACAAATAGAAAAGACAGTTTCTGCTCTAGGCACCCGTGTTCTAATGGGGCAGATAGCACATATGGGAGGTTCCAATTGCAAATCAGCTGCTATATCCACCATGACTGGTCCCCAGAAATAACAAGTTTAATTCCAACAACGTTAAAACTCCCAGCTCTCAAAGCGGTTACCTGCTAATAGAGGGAAATAACATTTATGGGAGATTTCAGCAGCAAGTGAGATGGAAACGCCCCATGGTCGTTATGGTGCAGTGGTAATGTCTTCTTTAATTTAGTTTAATTTCCAGGGGCAGCTAGGTGGCGCAGTGGGTAGAGCTCCGGCCTTGGAGTAAGGAGGACCTGAATTCAAGTGCTGCCTCACATAACACTTACTTAGCTGTGTGACCCTGGGCAAGTCACTTAACCACATTCCCTCATCAAAAAAATTTTTTTTAAATAATAATTTAATTTCCACTGATTTTTATCAATGAAATCCTATTTGGTTCCTATGTTCCCATTCCAAGGGCTCGTTCAATTGGAGATCCTGGGCTGTCTCCATCAAAGTTCTCAGAGAGATAGTAAACTCCTGGATGAAGAAACTCTCTAATAATGCATATCAGTTCCTTTGCAGCAACTGGTAGAATGGAAATAATGTGGGATAGGGGAATTGGAAGGGTTCAAATCCTGGCCCAGCTGTTTGTTACTTGTATGATCCTGGGCAATTCATTTAAACTTCATTGGACCTCAGTTTCCTCAACTATAAAATGAGGGGGGGGGGCTAGACTAGGTGATCTCTGAGGTCACTTCAAACTCTAAAGCTAAGATCCTAAATTTGTAATATTTGGAAGTTGTCTGGGATACGTTGAGAGGTTAAGTGATAGCCCAGGGTCATACAGTCGTCATGTATCAGAGATGGGATGTGAAGCTAGGTTTTTCTGGCTTCAGAACTAACGTTCAGACTCTCATCACTTCTCTTCAGGATCACTGCAGTAGCATCCTAATAGGTTTCCCTGCCTCTCCCCTTTCCCTATCTCAGCCTATCCTCCACATCACAGCTACAGTGATTTTCTTTAATGCGAAAGTCACTCTCCTCCTCAGGAAACTCAGGTAGATCCCTTTTGCCTCTTGTTTTGTCAAATACAAACTTCTATTGCAATCTAAAACTCTTCACCATGTGGATCCAACTTACCTTTCTAGGTTTCTCTTATATGATTTCCATGATCTGTCTTCATGATCTATCCCTCACACACTGTACCATATTGACTGAGCTTTTGCACAAGCTCTTCCCTCTGTGTGGAATGTTGTCCCTTCTCACTCTGCTCCTTAGAATTCCTAACAGCTTTCAAAGCCCAGTTTACAAGTGCCCCCTCTGGCATCTAGGCCTTCCCTGATGCCACCCCACCCCCCAACTGCCAATTAATCCCCCTCAAATTAACTTGTATTTTTTTGGCATATATCCCACAAATATGTATATATCTATATGAACCTTGTATGTATTTTCATATTCCATATGTGTATATACATATACAAATATGTACATATAGATGGGTAGAGTTATAGATATCACACTAGGTGCTCTGAAATGTACAAAAATGAACAAGAAGAGATGGTTTCTGCCTTCAAGGACCTTACAATCTAATGGGAAATCTGAATACAAAAATAAATATAGCACAAGACAATATGTGATAATTACCATTTGAGTAATAGAAATATTGTAGGAGTATAGGGAGTAGTAATACTTCTGGCTGGGTGGCTATAGAATAAGACACCTTTTAGTTGAGCCTGGAAAGACTAGTAGCATTTCCAGACACAAAGACTATCCAGAACACAATCCAGACTGAGGAAATAGACTTCCTCTCTCATTCCTGAGAGTAACCGTCACCAACCTTTTCTTTACTCCACCCATCACATGTAAAGCACGTGCCTCTGGCTTGAGTAGGAAGATTGAGGCCATCTGTACCAGTCTGATAAGACCAGCTGAGTGCTGTGTTATTTCTGTGAAGCCTAACTGTTCACTTTTGAGCCAAGGAAGGAATCCACACTCCTATTTGGGCCATCAAGCATGTCTTTTGGCAAGGATGGGAACGTGGACATTCTGCCCATAGTCACCTGGGGCTCTTAGATTCCCCCAAACCCTTGGGTGAGTGTCTAGTTCAGATGAGAACCAGCCAGCTTTCATGAAATGGCACAGCATTCAATTCAGAGTTAATAATTAGGCAGGGTTTTTATCCCCAGGAATATCAGTGTCACAAATCTAGGTATTACCAAGACTATGAGGGTTCTTCTTTGGACTTGGGCCAGTTCAAGGAAAGGTGATATGGTGAGCTAGTCTGGGTCTGACCACATCACCTTCCTGCTAAGGAAGCTTCAGGGATTCTCTGTTGCCTCTGGGATAAAATACAGATGCCTTGGTTTGTCATTTAAAGTCTTCACAGTCTAGCTCCAATCTCTCTTTCCATACTTAATTCCTATTATCCTGCTCACCCACCCTCCACATTTCAGCAAATTTGGACTGTGTTCCTCGCATGTAAAACATTCTTTGGCTTTGCAAGGAATGTGTACTTCATTCCTAGACAGTTCCATATCCAAAGAAAAATCTCCTCCCAGAATCCCAAACTCCATCGAAGGCGCAGTTCAAATGCCTTATCCTCCACGTGGCCTATTTTGATCCCCCACCCGCCTTATTAGTGCTACTCCTCTCCCATACTCTCCATAGTCACTTTGGTTTTGTCATCGTTATTGTTTGTTTTGTTGTTATTTGTTTTTTGGAGGCAATCCAGGGTTAAGTGACTTGCCCAGGGTCACACAACTAGTAAATGTCTTAGGCTACATTTGAACTCAGGGCCTCCTGACTCCAGAGCTGGTACTCTATCCACTGCATCATCTAGCTGCCCCCATATTCACTTTTTTTTCCAACAAGGTGTTTTCCCCAATAGAAAGTAAACTCCTTCAGGGCAAGAACTATTTTGTCTTTGCCTTTATATCTCCAGCACCTGACATAATGTTGGCACATAGGAGGCTCCTGATCAGTGCTTGTTGAATTGAATTGAATTGAATTTTTGTATCTTTTCTAGAACTAGGAGTCATCAAAAGTTATATAGGGTTCCATAGGTGCTAGTGCAGTGTTAGCGCATTTAAACTTTAGCACAGTTTAAGCTTTAACAGCTTAAAAATGTAGTAAGATTCCTGGGATGCCCCATAGACCCCTGAACCAGTACACATTTCATATTACAGCCTTATTCCTAAATAAAGCATTTTAGGGAGTTTCAAAAAAGGAACACATGTCATATAATCCTCAAATGAAGTCACCCAGTTAAAGTCGTGTTTTTGCAGTCGTGTTACACACACATCAATTAGGGAATGAAGCACACGTGGGGGCAAAGATAGGCATTACATTAGGCATCAAGTGCCTCAGTGTGAGGGTCTTATCTGGAACAGATGAGGGAGGCAAATGAAAGAAAGGAGCAATTCTGGGAAAAGGCTGGGTGGTGCCTATATGTGGGGGCGTGACTAAGCAGGCAGGAAACAAAAGTATTCTGTCAAAAGTATGTTACAAAGGTCTATAAGCAGCTAGGTGGCAAAGTGAATAAAGCAATGGACCTGGAATCAGGAAGACCTGAATTCAAAACCAACCTCAGAGACTTAATAGCTATGGGACCCTGAAAAGTCAATTAACTGCCTCAATTTTCCCAACTGTAAAATTGGAATAATAATAGCACCTTCCTTATTGGGTTGTTATGGGAATCAAATGAGATAATATTTTTAAAGTGCTTAAAGGCACAGTGCCTGGCACATAGGAAGTGCGTGTTTCTTTTCTTCCCGTATTGGCCAGGATCGCTGGACAATTACATGATCCAACAGGAACCCCTGAACTCACCAGACCATGCCTCAAAACTTTTCAGCATCATCAGCTATCCTCGCCTTCCCTCCCTTCTCTCAGAAAGAATTGTTTTTATTTCTTGCTAAAACTAATTATTTTAATCCATCTCCATGATTAAATCCTGTCCTTCAGATCCTTCAGATTTTTGCTCCAGCAGCCACTCTTTCTGTCATGTGTCTTCCATCTCTTTTTCCCTGGCTTCTTCCCATCTGAAGCAGGTTTTCCCAATCCCTGATCCTGAAGAAATCTTTTCTTGACCCTTCTAGCCCATTCAATTACAATTTCTTCTTTTTCCTCCTGTTGGTTGTCAGGTTTCTTGAAAAATTTGTCTTTGTGACATAAATCAGAGCCAAGAAAACAATTTGTAAACAGACTACAACAATGTAAATGGAAAGAATAATGACCACAAAATAATAAAAAGTTAATGATGCAAAATTGCAGAGAGCAAGCTTGGCCCCAAAGAAGAGATATAAGAAATCTCCTTTGCAAACGTGAGTAGTCCGTGGGTATGGAACATTGCGTATGTAGTCAAATTTTTTTTCAATGTTTTGATCAGTTTTGTGGATTTTTCCCCCCTTTTTTTAAATCTTCATTGTATCGGATGGCTTTCTGGGAGGGAGAAGA